TCCAATATTTCCTTCCATTCTCTCCTGCCTTGTAATTCTTCTATTGAGAAACCGGGTGATAATCTAATGGGGTGTCTGTTGTAGGTTACAGTCTTTTGTTCCCTGGCTGCCTTGAGAATTCCTTTTTATCTTTGTTTTTTTTTGGTCNGCCTTGTAATTCTTCTATTGAGAAACCGGGTGATAATCTAATGGGGTGTCTGTTGTAGGTTACAGTCTTTTGTTCCCTGGCTGCCTTGAGAATTCCTTTTTATCTTTGTTTTTTTTTTGTTTTGTTAGTTTGAATACAATGAGTCTTGGAGCAGGTCTTTTTGTGTGCCATAATTATGTGTTCTATTAGCTCCTCAATTGTAGACCCCAGTTCTTTCCATAGACTTGGGAAGTGCTCACCAATTAGGTCACTGAGTAGGCTTTCTGTTCCCTTCTCACTCCCTCCTCCTTCTGGCACACTTACTATCCTTAGGTTGCTCTTTCTAACGTAGTCGGATAGTTCTTGTAGAGACCTTTCATTTTTAAAAACTTAGTTCTCTCTCTTCTTCCTCCTGGGTTATTCCTAGATTTCTATCTTCAAGCTCACTAATTCTCTCTTCCATCTGATCTGCTCTACTTCCAATGCTCTCTAATACTTTCCTCATTTATTGAATGCTTCAGCTCCGGAATTTGGTTCTTTTTTTGTAGTTTCAATCTCTTTGGTAAAATACTCCTTTTTGTTCATTAATTTTTCTTGCATAATGTTGAGTTTCTTCATAACTACAATCTCGAATTCTCCGTCAGTTAAGTCCCAGTCTTCCATGACTGTATTTTCTGGAGACTATTTTCTTTCTGTGCTCCCAAGTTACCTTGGCTGTTCATGGTGTTTGATGGATTGTGTCTCTGCCTGTATAGTGGAGGCAATGAACCCTTTTGTTGCTTAGATACTGTTCTGCTCTCAATAATTCAGCACTTTGCCAGGTAGGGTACTGTCTTTCATATTCCAGCAGGTGGTGGTATAGCACAGGTTTTTGTGTTCTTTTACTTGTACCATTAGCACCCCTAGGCTAGTGGTGGAATAGGGTCACTTAGATTGAGGAAAATGCCACATACACACTGGGATGGTGGGTGTCCCATTTGTGACCAGCCCGCCTCAGTTTCAGCACGACCATTGTGGTGGGTGAACGTGGTGGGTGGTGAAGAATGGGTTTTGGGAGCTCCTAGAGCTACCTTTTTTCACTAGTGGCCACTGAGCCTGCTGTGTTTTTGGAGGCAATCTCACTGCCTCTACTGGGCTCTGCTGAGATGGGTAGGGCATGGGGAGAGGGGGCAAGTTTATGATCTCAGATCTCTGCCCCCCTGCCAGGAATGGCTGTGGGCGGCACTGCTGTGTTATTTGGGGCATCTCGGCTTTCTTTACCAGGCTCTGTTGGGACGGGTGGGGCAAAGGAGAAAAGTTTGCAAACTCACTACTTTGCCTCCCAACTAACGATGGATGGTGGCACTGCTGTGTTGTTTAAAGCTTCCCAGCTACCTCTGCCCAGCTCTGCTACAATGGGGAGAAGGGAAGCAAGATGCCTTTTCCCAGAGGAAAACTGCTTCTGCCCGTTACACTCCAGGCCCTAGTGTGAGGGCTGCAGCTAGACTTTTCCACTACTTTGCTTGCTGGAATCGCAGTGGGCACCGAACTGCATCTGTTGCCACGGTCCCTGTCCTTCTCTGTCCTACTTCGCCCCCTCATTCCAATACACCCATCTTCAGATGTCCCGATGCATGGATCTTTCAGGTGTGTTTGTGTGTTGAGCTATGGATGCTCTGAATTATACATGTCCAACTTGTTGTAAATTTAAGGGGTGAAACAAAGGAGTCTTGTCACTTGGACATGAGCTTTGGAGGGAGGGCTGCACCCAGAAAAAATGTGATGGGGAGCCCCGCTTTAGGACATAGAAATAGTGTGTGTGGGGTGCCATTCTCTCACTTGTCAAAAGTGGAAGCTGAGACCCAACAAGGGAAAAAGAACATGCAGATGGTTAGGAGACCATGTTTTCACTATGCCAGTATCTCCCCAAACATGTTCCTCCCCCCAAAAAAAGTGTTCTTAGGAAAACACTGCCTTTTATAACCACCACTCGCCTTGGAGACTCAAAACTCACCAGCACATGTGACAGACTCAGTGGTCTGAGTTTCCCCAATTTAACTCTGCTTAACTGTGTTTCCCGGTAAATTTTGATAATGGGTCCCCCACTTCCTCCCTTTGGGGAGGGAGTAACCATTGACATCCGCACAGAACCAGAGTGCCACAAACCCATCCAGGGAGGTGCTGCTCCGGCCTGTTACCTACAGCTTCTCCGTGAGTGGGGAGGGGACCCCAACTGCTCTCCAGGGACTTGAGAAGCTTTGCATTTTCCACAAAGAACCTGGCTTTTCAGGGTCTCTGACACTGAGCTGTGATCTTGGGCAAGTCACTTCCCCTTTCCCTGAGGGATGCCTCTTATCTGAGTGCTGGGGCCTGAGTCAGAGATGGAACTGGGGAAGCTGACAGATACTTATGTATTCTACCTACAGATGGGCCGACCCCCCTACGTCAGCAAGTGGACCGATGTGGTACGCAAGGAGGGCCAGGTACAGCAGGAGGCAGGGAGCACCCTGTATGTGGAAGAGGCCCGGGCTGGGGACGCTGGCATCTACACCTGCCGGGCCACCAACCTTCAGGGCACTGGGACTGCCACCACTCACGTCCATGTGACCCGAAGCCCTCGTGTCTCCCCTGCCCCTTCCTAGCTCCTTCCCTGATACAGGCATCTGGGTGTGGCGCAGTGGGCAGAAGCAGGAATAGGTAATTGTGTGAACTTTGGTGTTTTTTATGCCAAGGAGGTGCCCCCATAGGGGAGAAAGAACCTTAGCCTTCACCCCTTACACTCTCCCTTCTCTACTTTTACCCCTCACTTCACACTTATCGCCTTACTCCAAGCCCAGGTCTGAGGCTGGGCAAAGCTAGGGCCATTGGGCACCAGCACCCAAGGAGGGAGCCCAGAACCTGCTGAGTCGCCCAGGCCCCAGATGCCTTCCCCTAGCAGAGGTCGTCATGAGGACCCCCCTCCTCCCTCTCCCAGAAAAACACAGAGGCCAAGGGAATACTATTGTGCTTCTATTTGGTTTCCAATAGCTTGTCTGGCCCAGGGTGAGGCTATGACCACAGTTCATCTCCTCCATGTACCAAAGGCTACACAGAGAAACCCTGCTCCCCACACCTGGCCCCCTTTCCAGCCCAGCCTCTCCCACTGAAACAAGGCTTTCTAAAGGGCATCTTACAGCATTAAGTGCTCTGAAACTTAGTCAAAGGAGTTTAGGAAATGCTGAATACTTCACTTCTTTCTTGGGACTTTGCAATGTATATTAGCATATTAAAGGTTCTGAGAAGTCCTGCAGTTTGCAGATCTGCTTAATCTGATTGAACTAGAGTTTCTCAAATTACTTGGCTACCAATTCTTTTCTTGGTTGTGCCTATTAATGTCCAATGAACTAGTGTATCCCAGACAGCCTTTGGGGAAAGTTACATGAAGAAGTACATGTGTAACTCACTCCAGAGCTGCCCTAAGGCTCCTGGATGACCTGTCTGCCCATCACCAGACTCCCCTGGCCCTGCTGAACTCCCAGAACTAGAAATGAATGAAGGAGGTAGTCTGGGATGACAGAGAATGCAGAGGGCAGTCTGGGACAATGGAGGAAACTGTAGTTCTAATGGACTAACTTTTCCTATGTGCTGGCCCAGGCCAGGGACTGGAGCTGGGGGCCTCAGGCAAGGCCCTCCGGCTCCTGTGATCTCAGTCTGCTTTGATGCTGAAGAGGGGTAGGAACCTGTTTCAAGGATCTTATGCAGATCAGAGGAGGGAGGTGTGTCTGAAAGCATTTATTAAAATGCTCTATGCAAGGAAGGTTATTAGTACAGCCTCCAGCTGACTGGAAGCTTCCTGAGAACAATCTGAAATCCCCAGATGTCAGGCTGGGCAGGCCTGCAGGGGTGAGTTACTCTGGCCACCCCTTGGCACTGGTGGGGAAGGGGTGGGCCAGGTTCTAGGGGCCTGAGACCAGCGGTGGTGGGAGTTAAGGTGCGAGCAGGAGTAAAAGAGAGACCTGAGTGGGTGGGGGCCTGAGAGAGGAAGGAGGAGACAGACTGTCACAGATCTGATATCCCCAGAGCCTGGGGAGAAAGAAAAAGCACAAGATGAGACCTGGATGACAGAGGAGGTCCCAGTCCTGGCTTTGTGAGTCCCACTCCCAACCTACGTTTCCTCATCTGGACACAGGTGAGGTTCCAGCTTTGGTGGTGGAGTGTACTCAGACGCACCAGGTGGCCCCTGTGCCCACGCGGCACTGAGGCTGAGGGACCCGGAGGGCTAAGGAGTGAGCTTTGCCTGGTCAGGGAGGAGGAGCTCTGGCCATAACCCCTGGGTTGACCAGACCCTGGGACCACCAAGCAGTGGCAGGTCCGTGGCTGGGTTGGTCCCTGGCACTGCCAGCCCCAAGGGCCTCCAGTGACACCCTCCCAGACGCTCACCCTTCCCATCGAGTCTTAGGGTTTGGGCCACTTCCTCCCCCATCCCGCAGTTCGGAGCCTGACCTTCCAACAGTCCTAGAATGGGAACTGTAGTGATATGAGAGTCATTTGTTCAGTTTCCCCAATCGTTTTAGAGGAGCGGTAAACTGAGGCTGAGAGAAGGCCAGGGCAGACGCAGGGACATTTAGGGGTATGTGGATGAGCTGGCAGCAAAGCTGACAAGTTAGGACCAGGAGGTTGTGTCCTCTGACCAATGGTCAAAGCGGCACAGGCTCCCCTGGGAAAGCCTCACAGCTCCCTGAATGGGGGGGGGGACCCCTCTTGCTTGTTCCTGGGCCAGCTCGAAACAAGGCTCCTGGGGCCTCCAAAGCCCCACTGGTGACTCTACATGGCCCAAGCCCCCAGGGCTCACTGGGCACACACCCCGGCTCCCATTGCGAGGCCCCTGCTGTCGTCTCTGGAAGGTCCTGGAGAGGGAGCTGTGACCACAGGCGTCATGGTTGCCCAGGGCCTGAGCCTATGTGGCCAGGAAGGAGACCTCAGTGGGGGTGACTGAGGCCAGGGGGAAGGCGGGCGCAGCGTCAGCCCCAAGGACCCGGTACAGCAGCTCCTCCCTCTCCTGCTGGAGCTGTCGCCTTAACTGTGACTCCTTCTCCAGGGCCTCGTGGGCGAGACGCAGGTCCTCCGAGAGCTGCCTGTGGATGCAGACAGAGGCCAGGGTTGCCTTTCAGGGTCTCCAGTGACTGCAGAGCCCAACCCATTCCTCTAGGACGCCTTCCTTAGATGGGCCACCAGCCTGCTCCAGGGTCCCCACCCGATTCATGCGCGCACATTCATTCATTCATTCAGCCTCTTGAGCTGTAAGTTTCCTGTTTCCTCTTTCCCCGATCGGGCTTTCCCATGAAGCCCACTCAGCCAGGATGGGGACAAGTGGATCCTAATCAGGGCCTTTGATTTGGGTTTCCAGGTAGAGCTGGTCCCTAGGGATACCCAGCTCCCAAGGAACCGGGCCACTTTCCCCCGATAGGCCTGGGCCCACCTGTCAGTCCATTCTCTGGGCTTTTCTGAGACTCTCAACTGGGGGTTTTGGCAATGAGGGTGGGACGGGAGGAAAGGTGGGGGGGGCTACCTTGAGGCTGCTGCTTGCTTGCGGCCCCGGGCGAGGAGGTCCTCACTCTCCTGCTGGAGGGTGCTGATCTTCTCCTCCAACATCAGGTTTTTTTCTTTCTGTAACAAATCAGAACAAGCTCAGAAAGCCACCAAACTCCCATGATACAATGTGTGCCATCACCTCCCTCTTATATGTGGTCACTGAAAACACTGGCTCATTCTAGACCAAATGTTACATTTCATGGAGCAGTAAGATTGCCTAAAAAAACAAAACCAAGGAGTAAACAGAGGGCTGCCAGCTTTTAATTTTGCCACATGAGATCGTTAAAAAAAGGCTACAGACACTACCCCCTAGTATCTCCATCATTTCAGAAGAGAAAGGATATTCTTGGTTCTCCAAAAGTCAAGGGATAAAATATATTAAAAAAAAAAATTAAGTGTGCCTGTTATGCTATGCCATAAAAATGAACAAAATGTATAGGGAACATTTGAGATAGTCTGATTAAAATATAGGTGGTGCGGCACACACAGGACCAGGGCGACTTCTTCCAGGGCGACATAATCTCTGTTCAGATTCAACCCTAGGTTCCCAAGGCCTCCCTTCTCCTGAAGACAGAACCACCTGTGTCCTTAATGCCAGCCGCTCCGCAGGCCTGTCCCTGCCCACTCTGGCCCCTCGTATCTGTCTGGTTTCCAGCCTTCCTCAGCCCCTGCCTGACACGTGACACCTGCTAGCCCCTCCTGATTAGCCAGGCTACCTACCCTGGTGTCACCCATGTCATAGCAACACAAATAGCCAAGAAAAGTGCAGGACCCAGATGACAAGGAGCCCTAGCTTGACCCTGTCTGGCCACAGAGCAGCCTCAGCTGTCTCAAGGGCCGGCGTGGGTGGCAGGTCAAAGCCGTCGGTGGGGGCCTCAGGGTGCCCACCCTCTGCACCCTCCACAGAGGAAATGCTCAGTAAGCAGAGGCCTGAGGGTGCATCCTCCCAGCGCGTCCACCCACGTACCACTGTTTCCATGAGGATCAGCCGCTTGTCCAGCTCATGAATACGCTCATTCTTCATCTCGATGACGAAATGCAAGCTCTCCAGCTCCTGCTCCCAGAACTGACTGGGGCTCCCGTAATCCTAGACAGGGCCATAGAGCGACTTCATCAGACCAGCAGGCAGAGGTGCGCGGGCTCTCTCCCTCCTCAACATTCTGCCTCCGACTCACTGTCTGACTTGCAGAAGTCACTTCCCTTTCTTGGCCCATGGTAAGTGCTTAATAGGCTTCATCTCATTCTATCCCAGTAACACCCCTTGAGGCAACACAGATGAGGAAACCATGGCTCAGGTAGGTTAAGTTGCTTGTGCTAAGTGGTCGGTTTGTTGTTTGCACCTAGTTCTCTCTGAATCTAGGGCCTGAGCATTTTACTATCCCATATGCCTCTCCCTGAATCTTACCTCTCACCACCCCCTAACCCCCCGTCCAGTGACATGGGGACCCTGTTTCTTCTAGTCCCTTGTGAAGATAAGAATGTCACGTCTGAGCCCTGTCCTTGAAGAGGGACTGCCTTTCCTGTTGCCCAGACCCTGGAGATTCCAGGGGGAAAGGCCCCCAGGTGCACTGCCACCCACCTGGATGTGCTTCTTATAGTCTCGGCTCAGGATGGACTCCTCCACCCTCTTCATCTTGGCCTGGAAGGCCTCCAGCTGTGAGGTCAGCCCATCTATGGTCTCCTGGAGAAGGGAGCAGGGAGGAGATGGTCAAAGCCTGGTTCACAAAGGCAGAAGGTGGACTTCAGCACATCCCAGAGAGGGGTCAGTTTTGGGTTCCTCAGCCTGTCTTTGCTCTACCATACCCGACCATGCAGGCTCAAACCACTTTAACCACTGCTTGAAACACACCACTCCCGCCTCTTGTTCTAAAGCCTTTGATGCCTCTCCATAGCCATGGGGACGGTGTCCTGGTATTCAAGGCCGGTGTTAGCTTGGCATTCAAAGTACATCCAAACCGGGCTCAATACACTCTCCCAGTCTGATCTCTCATGGCTCCCCGCTATACACCATCTCTTTCAGCCAAATATCACATCACTCCTCCAACTGCAAGGTGCATTGTTGTTGTTTTTTTTATAAATATATCTTTATTGATTTCAGAGAGAGGAAAGGAGGGAGAGAGAGAGATAGAAACATCAATGATGAGAGAGTCATTGATCGGCTTCCTCCTGCACGCCCCCTGCTGGGGATCAAGCCCACAACCCGGGCATGTGCCCTGACTGTGAATCGAACCCCGATCGCCTGGATCCTAGGTTGACGCTCAACGGCTGAGCCACGCCCAGCCGGGCACAAGGTGCATTCTTGTCTCCACAGTTTTCCCCTGCCAGGAATTTCCTCCACCCAAACCTTGCCCATTACCTTTAGGACAGAATGCAGCCGCTTAGTATGATTTACAGGCTCACCGACATTTGGCCCTTGCCTACTTCTCCAGCCTCAGTTCTCTCTCCCACTCTATACCCCAGGCATCTTGGACTCCTTTCAGTTTCACAGGTATTCCATATTTTCCTCCTTTCCTCCCTGCCTTGAAACACACTGGTGTTTTTCTGTGTAAGGCACCCTTCCTACCCTTCTTCATCTGAAGAATTCCAACCTATCCTTCAGGCTCTGGCTTAGATCTCATTCCCTTTAGGAAATTCCTGACCAGCCAAATTGGGTCAGACACCTTCTTTCATGTTCCACAGGTCCCTGTGCATCCACCCACCAGTCTAATCGCACTGTGGCAGCCGGCCCATGAAGCCTCCAAGATCCTCCCAACAGTCCTTAGAAAAATAGGCCAACTCTAATCCCAAGCCTGGTTGCCACACCAAGGGGCCTGGATACATGGAAGGCAATCAACCCTGTCCCTCATAGTTAGGTAGAGGCCATCAGATTTGGCTATTGGGGGCTCCATGCTGATTTCCTGCAGGCTGTTCCCTACTNATCAACCCTGTCCCTCATAGTTAGGTAGAGGCCATCAGATTTGGCTATTGGGGGCTCCATGCTGATTTCCTGCAGGCTGTCCCCTACTCATAGAGACTGACATGGCCCAATCCCTCTTACCTGCAAGGCCGCCTTGGCCTCCTGGAAGGAGTGGGTAAGTGCTTCTTTCTCTTGCTCATATGAGGCCCGGAGGACTGTAGGGAAAGGAGACCTCTGTGAACTCAGATACCCAAACACTTCACCCTACCTTCTGGCAGGCCCATTAGAGGCCAGGAGTGTGGAATGCTCTTATCCATCCTTCTACCTCATGAGCTTGGGGCTGTGTCAGAAATATAGTAGACATCTAATTAAAGCTCATGGAAATGAAAACAAATTATATTCTTTGAGGAACCATGAACTCTACCAGATTGTGGGTACCACCCACACCTCGCTAAGGCTAAGATCCAAAGATGTTAAGGCAAGCTGTTCATCTCAGACCACAGCATGCTGTGGAAAATGTATAGGGCCAATGTTTTGTGAGCTGAGACCAGACTTTGAAGTACCACGAAACCAGTAGATATAAACAAGACCCAGAATCTTATGTACTCAAATATTTTAAAAAATCCAGGATACAATACAAAACTGCTCAGTGTATGAATCCAAAATGGCTCAACATACAAATCCCAAATTGCTCAGCATGCAATCCCAAATACTTAGCATATGAAGTAGCAGAAAATCTCAACTTGTCTGAGAAAAAAAATGCAACAGATGCCAACACTGAAACACCACAGAATCATTACCAGAGACGTAAGGCAGCCATTATATCAAAGCTCCAGGGTGAGCACTCTTAGAAAGGATGGAAAAACAGAAAGTCTTAGCAAAGAAGNGGCAGCCATTATATCAAAGCTCCAGGGTGAGCACTCTTAGAAAGGATGGAAAAATAGAAAGTCTTAGCAAAGAAGCAGAAGCTATTAAGAAGAACCAAAAGGAAATTTTAGAACTAAAAAATACAATAAATGAAATACAAACTCACTGAGTGGGCTCAGTAGAATAGAAACGACATGGGGAAGAGCTCATGGGGGTGAAGATAGATCAATAGAAATGATCCAATCTGAACGATAGAGAGAAAGTATTAGAAAAACTTGAACAGAGCCTTGGGAGCTTTAAGATAATCTCAAAATGTCTAACATTTGTGTCATCAGAGTCCAAGAAAGAGAAGAGTGTAGCGCAGAAAACCTATTTGAAGAAAGAAAGGTTGAATGCTTCTCAAATTTGGTAAAACAAGCCTACAGATTAAGGGTGCTCATGAACCCCAAATGAAGTAAACCCAAAGGAGTCGACACCCAGACACATCACTTTTGAGAACTTATGACAAAGAAAAAAATCTGGAATGAAACCAGAGGAAAACAGTATATTACCTACAGAAAACAACAGTTTGAATTACTGTGGATTTCTCATTAGAAACCTTAGTGACTAGAAGGAATAAGCACATTTTTAAACTGCTGAAGTAAAAGAACTATAAATCCAGAGTCTTATTTCCAGTAAAAATATCCTTCAGGAAAGAAGGTAAAATAAAGGCATTCTCAGGTGAAGGCACACTAAAAAAATTCATCACTAGCAGACTTTCCTTAAAAGAATTGCTCAAGGATTATTCAGACAGAAAGCAAATAATAGCAGAGGGAAACTTGAAACTTCAGGATATATGGCAAGAGCAACAGAACTGGTAAATACCTGGGTAAATATAATAGACTATTCTTCTCTTGAGCTCTTTAAAATATGATTGATGGTTAAAAGAAAAAATTACAACATTGTCTAATGGGGTATTCAATGTACATAGATGTAAGACATAAGACAAGTACAAGAACCTGGCCAGTGTGGCTCAGCGGTTGAGCATCGACCTAGGATCCAGGAGACTGGGGTTCGATTCCCAGTCAGGGCAAATGCCCAGGCTGCAGGCTCGATCCCCAGTAGGGGGCGTACAGGAGGCAGCTGATCAATGACTCATCATTGATATTTCTCTCTCTCTCCCTCTCCCTTTCTCTCTCTCTGAAATCGATAAAAACATTATATATATATATATATATATATTAAAAAGACAAGTGCAAGAAAAAGGGGAGAGGATAGTAATGATGGTAAGGTTTCTATATTCCACTTGAAGTGGTAAAATATTAATTTAAATAGACTGTAATTCTTAGAGCAATGATTTTATATACACACATATCCAGAAAGAGATATAGTAAAAGAGACAATAAGTAAGTTAAAATGAATACTAAAAAATGTTCAAATACTCCAAAAAATGAAAAAGCAGAAAAGCAAAAATAGAAGATAAAAAAACAGAGGACAGAAAACAAATATCAAAATGACAGACTTAAATTCAACCATATCAATAATAACATTAAATTAAATGGTCTAAACATACCAAATAAAAGAGAATATCTGAATGGATTTAAAAGAACAACTATGTGCTATTTATAAGAAACCCACTTTAAATATACATCACAAGTGGTTAAAAGTAAAATNATCTGAATGGATTTAAAAGAACAACTATGTGCTATTTATAAGAAACCCACTTTAAATATACATCACAAGTAGTTAAAAGTAAAATGATGGAAAAGCAAAATTAACCAAAAGAAAGAGGTAGTGGCTATATTAATTTCAGATGAAGTACACATGAGAATAAGGAAGATTATCACGGATGAAGTACATAATGATAAAGGGGTCAATTCTCCAAGAAGACATAAGAATCCTAAATATTTATACACCTAACAATGGTTCTTCAAAATATATGCAGCATAAACTGACAGAACTGAAAAGAGAAACAAATACACAGTTATAGTTGGAGACTTCAACACTCCTCAGTATTCAATAGAAAAGCAGAAAAGCAGTTAAAGTATAGAAGAACTGAAGAAGCCCATGAATCAACTTGATCTGATTGATAAAATATTCAACCTAACAATAGCAAAATATTCATTCTTTTCAAGTGCATGAGAAATGGTCACAAGATAGGCCATCCTGAGTCATAAAACAAACTTAACAAGTTATAAAAGAAGCAAAATACAAACTATGCTTTCTGACCATATGGAATCAAACTGAAAAATAAACAACAGAAAGAGAACTGGAAAATTTCCAAATATTTAGCAGGAAATACACTTCTAAATATTCAATGAGCCAAAGAGGAAGTTTCAAAGGAAATTGGAAAATATTTTGAACTGAACGAAAATGAAAATACAAAATATCAGTTTGTGGGATGCAGATAATGCAGCACTTGGGGGAAATTTATAGCACTACGTGCTTATGTTAGAAAAGGAGAAAGATCTCAAATCCATAATTTAAGCCTCTAGTGTAAGAAATCAGAAAAAGAAGAGCTAACTAAACATAAAGCAAGTAAGCAAGAGAAAGGAAAGAAAAATAACAGAAATCGATGAGATTGAAAATGAAGAAAAAAAGGAAGGAATCAATAAAACCAAAAGCTGGTTCTTTGAAAGGATTAATAAAATTGATAAACTTTGAGCAAGTTTGACAAAGAAAAAAAGAGAATACACAAATTACATCAGGAACCAAGCAGGGGATATCGCCACAGACACAGAAGATATTTAAAACAGTATTAAGAAACTTCTACAAAGTACAATTCTATGCACATAAACTCAATGACTTGGATGAAATATACCAATTCCTGAAAAATTACGATCTACCAAAACTCGCCCATGATAAAATACATAACCTGGACATTCCTATAACCATCAAAGAATCTGAATTTGTAGTTAAACACTTTCTAGGAAAAAAATCTAAGCACAGATAGTTTCACTGACAAATTACACTAAACATTTAAAAATGACACAACACCAATTTTATACAATCTTTTCCAGAAACAGAAGAGGAGGGGACATTTCCCAACTTGTCTCATGAGGCAAGCTTTACTCTGACAGTAAACCAGACAGATGGTACAAGAAAACCACAGACCAACATCCCTCATGAAAATAGACACAAAGATCCTCAATAAAATATTAGCAAATCTAATTCAGCAATATATAAAAATAATAATATACCTGACCCAGTGGGGCTTATGCCAGGAGTGCAAGGCTAGGAGCGCAATATTTGAAAACTCAAATCAACTCTATTAACAGTCTAAAGAAGAAAAACCCATCATTAGAATGACAGATCTAAATGTAAAACTTAAAAGTATAAAATTATTGGAAGACAACATAGAAGAAGATCTTCATTACCTGGGGTTCAGCAAAGAGTTTTTAGATATGACACCAAAAGCAAAGTCAATAAAAGAGAAAATAATACATTGGAATTTATCAAAATTAAAAGCATTGTTGTTAAGAGAATGAGAAAAAACAACAACACCCGCAGTCTAGGAGAAAATATTTGCAAATACAAAGGACTCGTATCCAAAAAATATAAAGACCGCTCAAAACTCAACAGTAAGAACAAACAGGCTAATTAAAATGGGCAAAATATCTGAAAAGTCATTTGACCAGAGGATATACAGGTAGCGAGCAAGCAGAAGAAAAGGTATTCATTATTGGGGAGAAAAAGGGACATCTGTAATATTTTAAACAAAAATAAAATTTAAAAAAATAAATAAATAAAATAAATAAAATTAGAAAAAAGAAAAAAAAAAAAGAAAAGGTATTCAACATCCCTGGTCATTACTGAAATGTACATTTAACCCATGAAGAACTCACTGCACACCTATTAGAACAGCTAAAATGACAAATATTGACAAGTGGTGGCAAGAAAGAACAGTGGCACTCATACACTGCTGATGGGAATGTGAGATGACGGTCACTAGGGAGAACCGTTGAGCCATGTCTCATAAAGCTAGACATACATTTATTATATGACCTATCAATCCCACTCCTACGGACTTACCCAAGAGGAATGGAAACCTATGTCCACACGAAAACCCGTGCCCAAATGTTTCGAAGAGATTCATAATCATCTCAGATTGGAAACAACCCAAATGTCCCACAACAAGTGAATGGCTGAGCGATGCGACACAGCTCAGCAATGAAAGTGCATAAATTCATGATGCGTGCGACAACGTGGATGGGTCCCAAAGGCACCACGATGAGCGAAAGACGCCACGTCAAAAATATTGCATTATTTTGTTTATACAGCAGCCTCAAAAGGTAAAACTGTAGCGCTGGAGACCAGATCAGTGGGGCTGGGGGATGTGAGTACAGAAGGGCAGCTGCAGCTATTCTGGGGCTGACGGAGCTGTTTTGTATCAGATGTTCACAAATGGTTACACGAATCTATGCATGCATTAGAATTTATGGAACTGTACCCCCAAAAGAGTCAATTTTGTTTCTAAAAATAAAAACAAAAATAGAAAAAAAAATAAAGGACCACAAAAGGTCATCAAATGTGGAAAACCACCACTAGCCTGTCCCAGTTACCTGTCTGCCTCCCAAAAACAAAGCCCCATATATTGCCCCCATGCTGTGCTTTCATTCATTTATTTAATACATGTTTATGTAGCACTTAACATGTGCCAAGAAATTTAATAATAACTATGAAAGAATTCTGACTGATGGGGAGAACTCAAGGCAGACTGTCCCATCTCCTCTGGGGTTTTGTAACAGGAAAATTTTAAATCCATGTATTAATAATGCTAAAAATAATATCAAAGCAATGCTTGGAAAACAGAGTTATTTTCCTTGTGAGGCAGGGAAGGTAGATTTTAGATATGTGGAAAGTGAACTGAAATTCCAGGTAGATTTTAGAGACACAGAAAGTGAACTGAGGTCAAGTGAAAGGCCCAGTTTCACGAGGAGTATTAATATTAAAACGCAACTCTGCAAATTCCCAGGGCAAGGGCCTCAGTTCCAATTCAAAACGTTTTGTGCTAATGTTGCAATATGTTTCAAGATTCTTAAAATTGTTCAGACCTCTGTTCTAGTTATTCCATTTCTGGGAATCTGAGGACATCATGTGAAATGTGGGTACATCTTTATGCAAAAGATGATTAGTGCAGTGTTATTATTTATAGTAGTTAGAACCTAATGTCTAGCCTCACAGGAAATTAAGGAAACCATGCATGCAATGGTCTAGCCTTTATAAACATTTTAGCAGCATAATTACATGGACACATGTTTGATACAATGATAAATGTATAGAACAGGGTACAAAATTTTATATAAGTAATCATCAGTGTGTTTTTAAAAGATAAATAATTCACCCGGCCAGGTGGTTCAGTGGTTGAGCATTGACCTAGGATCCAGGAGATCGCGGTTTGATTCCTGATCAGGGCACATGCCCGGGTTGCGGGTTCAATCTCCAGTTGGGGGCGTGCAGGAAGCAGCCGATCAGTGACTCTCTTATCATTGATGTTTCTATCTCTCCCTCTCCCTCTCCCTTCCTCTATCTGAAATCAATAAAGATGTATTTTAAATAAATAAATAAAAGATAAGTAATTCTGGGGAAAGGTCATGCAAATACTTATGATTAAAGGGGAAACTGGCATAACATTTTCTAGGTCAATTTCAATAGCATCAAAAATATATGTAAACTTTCCAAAGAAGATATAAAAATGTCCAACAAGCACATGAAATGATGCTCAGCAAAATTAATCTTTAGTGAAATGCAAATCAAAACCACAATCAGAAACCACTCTGCACCCAACAGAATGGCAAGGATATTGGTAACGATAGTATCAACAACAGTGGAAAATAACAAGCATTGGCAAGGATGTGGTGCAACTGGAAGCCTTGTGCATTGCTGCGGGTAAAGTAAAATGGTGCAGCCACTGTGGAAAACAGCTGGCGGTTTCTTAAGCATAAAATTACCATATGACCTAACAATTCTACTCCCGGGCATACACCCAGGGGAACTGAAAGCAGGTGTTTAAGCAGGTGCTTGTTCCACTGGCACTATTCACAGTGGCCGAAGGGTGGAGGTAACCCATGCGTCCATCAACAAGTGAATGGAAACAAAGTGTGGTGTGTCCATGCCAATAATAATGAAATATTATTCAGCCATAAAAAGGAATGGAGTAATTTGTAAAATGGGCAAGACAATAACAATAAAGGAGTGGGGTGCAAATGCATGCTGCAGTCTGGAGGAGCCTTGGAAATATGCTGGGTGAGGGAAGCCAGGCGTGCAGGCCACAGGCTCTACGCTTCCATTTATACGAGCGTCCAGAGTAGACGAAGCCAGGAAACGGCAGGTTGGTGGTTGCCAGGGGCTGGGGGTGGGGAGGGGATATGCGGAGTGACTGATTGGTGAGGACGGGGTTTACTTTTTGGGTGATGAATGTTCTGGTACTGGATAGTGGTGATGGTGAAGAATGGATGGATACTAATGATGAATGTGGCCAAGGTGTTACAGGGGTTCACACGTGTGTAAGTATCATTGCTACTGTAAAAACGGCAACAGTTGGAAATTACCTAAGTGCCTAATCAGAGGGGTCCAGTTAAATGAACAAGGATACACACTGGAATGCTGTCATTACTAACACTTATGTCACAGAAGTTTAAAAAGTTGTTAATACAATTCAAAGTAGAAAACACAACACAAAAAACAATTTCCTCCCCGCAAGGTATGTGTGTGTGTATAGATGTATATTCTAGGTTTATACCAAAAAAATGAAAGCGATCTACATCAAGGGGGTAACTGGCCAGGTCTGAATGGAATTGCACACAATTTCAATTTTCTCAATAATAAGATAATAATGCTAATAATTATTTGCTAAATATCTTGCAAAATATCAGGCTCCTGTTCTAAATTCTATCTATCTATCTATCTATCTATCTATCTATCTATCTATCTATCTATCTATCTATCATCTAAAACTTAAATGAATATCCTTCGAACACAGCTAACTAACTTCTTCAAGGTCACACAGCTGATAAGTGGTAGAGCTGGGATTCAAACTGAGGGCCTATGACTGCAGAGTCTGAGATCCTAACCACTATGCTATGAGATCTTTTTATTTAATCTATAGATTCTACATTTTCTATGATATGATATCACATTTGGTGGTATGAGAGGAAAGAAAGCTATTTGAAAGAAATAATCAACTTAACCAGAAATTGTAAGCCACTGTCATTACTGTGGGGAAGAAATATGAATATTTAAAACTTCTCCTATATGTCTAGGTTTTTCAAATGTCCTTTGNTGTCCTTTAAGGAATATGAATTGCTTTTAAAATGGAAAAGAAAAACACACATCTCTCAACTAAGGTAAAAATGAGGCATGGTGTAAGGCTTTTGAAGCTATGCCCCGAAAGACCAGTTCAAGGACCCTGTTACAGACTCCGGCCCAGAAGCAGCCAACTGCTTGTGAACCAGCGGCAGGAGGGAGGGGCCAGTGGGAGCCCCCGCCCCCCTGAACTTGCAGATGAGGCCAGAAGGAGGGCCCTCCCACACCCTCCCTAGAGCAGCATCTCCATCCTTACCTTGCAGGGCTGCCTCATGCTCTCCCTCAAGGACTCTTCGCTGCTCGTCCAGTTTCTCTCGAAGCTCTAGCTCCCTCTCCTTCTCCACCTGGGGGTGGGGGTGCCCAGTGGGATGAGACTGAGTGGGTCCAAGTTCAGCAGAGCCTCACCCACTCACTGCCCCTTGGAACTACGTGGAGCTAGGTGATCAGAGTCCCACCCCCTCATCAGAGTGATGAAAACGTGCTCAGAGAAGGCACAAGACTCCTAGAGAGCAGGAGTGGCTGACTGCCTTCTTTAGGGCTTAGACCTCACCCCCCCCCCAGAACTATCTAGGGGGAAAGGGGTTTAGAAGTCTTCTAATTGTGATGCCCACTCAAGGTAGGAAGCTCTTCTACTGTGTTAGGGTGTTTCTGCACCTTTCTTTGCATATAATGAATATAATGAAACAGATGCAAGCAGTTACAGATATTTGTTCAACAGATAAAGGACTCCCTTCCTGGAAAGTGAGGTGAGAGACAACTTACCACAACAGTGAAACCAAAAGTTAGTCCTTGCTCTTGGATTTTGCAAGGTTAGCTGAGCAGAAGGAGAAGAGTGGTTGGGACGTACCTGCTGTGCCCATTTCTTCCTGTCCTCTTCGTGCTGCTGGAGGATTCTGCTTATATCCTTCTGGTGCTGCTCAGCCTCCTCGGGTGCACAGAGCTGGGCAGCTGTGGCTGCAGGTGAGAGCCAAACAAGAAAATAATGAAGCAAATCGCAGGGAGCTGAAGTGGGGTAATCACAGCGGCAGGGAGCGTGTGAGAGGCTGGGGCTGGGGAGCGGGGGACCTGCTCCCCACCTCAGGAATGGTTTCAGCTGGGGATCCACCTGCCGAGGCTGCCCCCAGGCCCCCCCGCTCTGCAGGCCTCCTTCAGAGCAGGAGCCAGCGGTCTCACATTGCCTCCTCGGATCCACAGCGGAGCTGGTCACTCACAGGGCAGAGTCAGCCCACGTGCCCTACCCAATGTCCAAATGACAAAAGAAAAATTAGTTGCTGAGATTTAATGACTGGGCAGCTTTTACTTAATGCACATTTTCAGCTTTTTTTTGCAGAAGCCGAAGAACTGGCAGTGTGCGCCTTTGCGTTAACCAGGGGCTGGGGGCGCGGAGCAGCAGCCTCCCCTCGTCCAGGAGGCGGCTCTGCTGTTTGCCACAGTCCCCACCTCTTCCTACTGAGCTCTACCTGCTGGGGGCCGTGCGCGTCTGACCCACGCCTACAGCGTTTCCCCAGCTGGAGGGTGAGGAGCCGCCCGAGCAGGAAGGAGACGCAAACAGGAAGGCCAGCCCTTGCTTAGGAAACTCCAAACCAGGCCCTGCCGATCCACTCGATCCACTCGGAGTCTAACGAGATCCGGGCATGACCCGAGGCAGTGACCTATCCCCTCTGTGCCTGGTTACTCGATATGGGGAAATCAGGACAATAATAATACATTCCTCAAGGGGCTATTGAGATAGATGATTAAATAGAAAACAATGGCAACAGAAATAATAACAGCAGGTAAGGAATACGAGAGCTTGGCACGCCCGGGATCACGCCCAGCTCTGCTCCGAGTGTCTCACAGGTATCACTCACTTAATCCTCACAGCCACCCAATGGGGTGGACACCACGATTATTCCCATTTCACAGGTGAGGAAACTGAGGCACAGAGAAGTTAGGCAACTTGCCCAAGACCCCCCATTTCACAATCGGGGAGAAGGGCTATGAACCTACGCAGTCTGATTCCATGGCCAGCTCTGCTAACTGCCGCCCCTTCACCTGATCACGCGTGAAAAGCAGTGAGCGTGCATCCTGGCCTAGCGGCTCAGGGGGCCAGAGCATCGTCTCCATCCGCTGAGGCTGTGGGTTTGATCCCCAGACTGGGCACACACAAGACTCAACCAATGAATGCATGAATAAGTACAAACCAATGTTTCTCTCTTTCTCTAATATCAATAAATATTAAAAAGAGCAGTAAGTGTGGTGCCAGGCATTTGGAAGCGCTCAGTGTTGTCTATTGTTCCCTAAATGGCCTCTAAATGTTCATCAGGGCTCATGACAAGCATTAGAGGGAAACACTAGTGTTGTCAGCATTATTACTCATGTGAGTATTGTGATTACAGACCTCCATAGGCAGGACCTGGCAAAGGATATGATGAGAGATGTGGGGATCGGGACTGCTAAGTGAGACGCCAACTCTGTGATCAGTCCATCAGGACAGAGGAAGAGAGAGTCAGTGCCCTGGGCCCTGGCAGATGGCAGTGGTCAAGTCAGAGAGCCCCACACGCTCACAGGTCATTTGGCTCAGGGTCCCAAATGTTAGTTCACAAGACCAATAGCAAACCGGCCCCAGCTAGGGAGAAGCTTATTAAAAAAAATACACCATCACTACTAGTGTAGCCCCACTCCCAGGGATTCTTACTTCATTGGTCTGTGGTGGGGCCCCAGGATCTGTATCTCTGAAGTTTGCCCACGTAATTTTTATGTACAGCCAGACTAGAGAAAGTCTGATTTCTGGTCCAATTGCTTATCTGGTGCTTGAACTTCATCTACAATATCAGTGACAGCCTCCAGGCTGTAATTAAACACTTTTAGAGATGGAGAACTTATTCTATTACTAGGCAGTTCTGATGGTTTTAAGCCAACCACCACACACAAAAATCCTTTGAGAATGAACTGAATTCTGCCTGCCTGTTCCTGCCACCTTGAGGCCCTAGTTCTGACCTCTGGGTCACACTGTAGAAGGCTTATTTTTCTTCTCCACTGAGGGCACTTCAGACACTTGGAGAGAACTGCTGTGTTTTATTGCAACATCTTTCCAGGTAAAACATCCTCTGTTCCTTTAACTGCTCCTTACAGTACCTGGTTTTCAGATCCCTCATAAGCCTGTTCTTCCTTCACTGTACTCCTTCCAATTCTTCTGGATTCCTCTGAAAATGTACTTTACAGAAATAAACTCAGCACTCCAGGTGTGGTATCAAAAGCCCAGAACAGGAAAGCACAGGTCAGGACTGTCATCTCCCTGATTTTAGACGTGATACTCCTATTAATGTCACCTATCTAAAATCTCACGAGATAATTCAATAGCTATATCACCTTTGTTAATTATAAAGTAGGAAACTTTATGGATGTCAGGGAAGGCATTCATGGAACAGGCTACTCACCTGTGTCGCCATTGAGGGGACCTAGTTCCTGGGGCTCTGGTCTAGGTGGCTGATCTGGTTCTTGGCGTCTCTGGAAGAAATGGCACAACAGTGAGGCGGAGGTAGAGGGCGGAAGGACAATGTGAGGATGGACGCTACAGCAGGACTCTTCCAAAGACAAGACAGCCTTCCAGCTGTGCCAGACCAGCACTCCCTCTGCGCCAAAGGGGTTCCCAGAGCAGGGAACCCCTTTTTTTCAGCACAGCCAGGAAAACCCTCAGCGAAGAGTCCGATGCTGGTTGAGCTCGCCTTAGATTCTTGTCGTCTGGCTCCTGCCACAAACCATGGCCTCTTCTTCCTTCTCTGAGACTTGGCCAGGCCTTCGGCTTTTATCTTCACCCCAGTTATGACCTTCAGGTGCCCCCAAATTTCCCAGCTTCCAGTTCAGTGACAATACCCCTTTCTTCTCAGGGCCTGTGGCTACCACGACTTCCAGCCTAGTTCCCCTTAAAGTTCTGTGGGCTTGGGGGCAGAGAATCAGAAGTCTAAGCCATGGTTTTACCATCTTTATTCTGTTAAAAAGGGCTGTTTTCTCACGCACAAGAAAGCAGAGGTACTTACCTTGTCAGAGGGGGTGAGACACTGTGATTGGGATGTACTGGGCACTATGCTATCCACCCAAAATTCTGATCCACTGGTCAGTGCCAGATCTTGACCAAATTTAGCTTGACACTACGTAGCTAATCTTTAGAGCAACCCTGGGAAATAGGGATATCCTCGGTTTAAAGATGAGAAGGCAGGTTAGGACTCCATCAAGGTAGATTAGGGGATCCTTGGCAGTCAAGTATTTGAGCCAAACCCGATGGGCGCTTTAACCAGCCTTGGCCAGTGTAGGCTGAATCTGAACAAAGGAGACAACTGATGGGTGCAAAGGGCTTTCTAGATTTTCAGTCAGTGGCTCCCAGATTTTCAGTTTTCATAAATGAGTAATTTTTATTTTAATCCTGACCCAAGGATATGTTTAGAGAGAAGAAAGGAGAGAGAGAGAGAAAATCCCACACAAAACATCAATGTGAGAGAGAAACATTGATCAGTTGCCTCCTATATGCAATCTTAGACCCGGGCTTGCAACCTAGGTGCGTGTCCTGACTGGGGATCGATCCCGCAGCCTTTGGTGTACGGGAGGACACTCCAACCAACTGAGCCAGCCAGCCAGGGCAAATGAGTAATACATATATATATTTTTTAAATACATCTTTATTGATTTCAGAGAGAGGAAAGGAGAGGGAGAGAGAGATAGAAACATCAATGATGAGAGAGTCATTGATCGGCTGCCTCCTGCACGCCCCCGACTGGGGATCGAGCCCACAACCCGGGCATGTGCCCTGACCGGGAATCAAACCCCGATCGCCTGGATCCTAGGTCGATGCTCAACTGCTGAGTCACGCCCAGCTGGGTGGCAGTAATATTTTTAATAGAAGAGTTGATATGGATCGACAAGCAAAAATGCTGAAAAAATTATTTGCAGACTATCACTCATTTCATAAAATAAAGGACCTTCTAAAACATAGTAAGGAAAGCTCAAGGCCAGCACTTCCAGGAAGAGGGGATATGACGTCCTTACTCAACGTTACACACACTCGCACCTTTAATTTTCTCATTTCACCCCAGATAGGTGAAAATTTGGTCAAGATCTGGCACTGACCAGTGGACCAGAATTTTGGGTGGAAAAAATGTAACTGCTTTTGTACACTTTTCAAGATATTCTTTAAAAAAAAAGATATTCTGGATCCCATGTTGAGCAACACTTTAAAAAATGTCAGCCTGTGAAAAGCCTTTGTAAATGTTCAATTGTTAATTATCACTGTAAAAGAAAAACTTTAACGGATTTTTATATGTAATTATTACAATAACAATTATTAACAATTTCATGAACTCAAGAACCACTGAAGTGCTGCTAGAAAGCATAGTTCTGGTTGGGGAGGGAAGATAAGAGAAGGGAAGGCTTCTAGAACATTCTGCTCCTGGCACAGTGTCAGCCCCTAGCACACTGAGGGAGGCCCGGTACCTCCCCCAGGCCGTGGTGCCCCAAATCTGCTTAGTGGTTGGGCGTGCCTGACAACTGAGTCCTCCATCCACCCTGTGAAGACTCAGCTCTCCCTTCCCAGGGGAGAGGGAGATGCCTGGCCCAGGCACGAGCCAGGAAAGCTGTCAACACAGGAATCTGGGGAAGTGACAGGAGCCAGCCTCTCCACCCTGGGCTGGAGGAAGGAGGGAGATAAACATAAATGGTTGTCTCATCCCTGTTGCCACCACTGGTTACACTAATCTGGGCAATGTTTTCATGGGAGTGAGAATTCCTGAGCTCCAGTCAGGGCTCTTCCCCGAACTTGGGCAAATCCCTTTCCTCCTTTGTGACGTTAATTTAACCCGTGGCCCTCGCAACATCAGAGACTGGAGCAGTGTGATCAAGAACTCTGGGTCCAGCCCGGCCGGTGTGGCTCAGCAGCTGAGCGTTGACCTAGGATCCAGGAGATCGAGGTTCGATTCCCGGTCAGGGCACATGCCCAGGTTGTGGGCTTGATCCTCAATGACTCTATCATCATTGATGCTTCTGTCTCTCTCTCCCTCTCCTTTCCTCTCTCTGAAATCAATAAATATTAAAAAAAAAAAA